TGTCTCATCACATCTGGGAGAGTATTTGAGAGCTCCATCTGTTTACCCTGAGAGGAGTTCATGCTGTTGAACACATTTGCCACCCTTTCACAGTTTACGCTCATGTCTAATGTCATTCCACGCTACTCACCCACACCGACACGTTAAACAAGGCCTCATTTGGGCTCTTAGTTCTTAGTAAAGTACGCACAGACTGGCTACATTAAGAGTAGGTGCTATGTTACACTTGTCATTATTAATGATTTAAATTGTTTATATATAAATTGTTTAGAAATTGTTACATTTTTTATATATAAATATATATGTATACACACACACACACACGCACAACCATTTAAAAGTTTGCGTATTAATTATTTTTTAAAATTAAATTAATAGCAATGATCCAATAAATTGATCAAGTGTGACTGAAGACATTTAGACATTTTACAATGTTAGATATTTTACATATTACAGTATTTTTTAAATATTGATAATGAACAGCAAATCAGCATATTAGAATTATTTCTGAAGGATAATGCGACACTGAAGCCTGGAGTAATGATGCTGAATATTCAGCTTTGCCATCACAGTAAGTTACACATTAAAATATATTAAAATAGAAAATATAAAACATTTAAAATTGTAAAAAATTTTCACAATATTACGAATCAAATAAATACAGCCTTACTTATATTATATACAGTACATTTAGCACAAAAAATGCTCCATAATAAAATGTATGTTTTTAAGCGCAAGTTATTAGCCTATAAAGCTGTCATGATAACACTTTCATTAATAACAATATTAAACATTGTTAAATTATTCAATGGTGAACAGATCTTGAAAAATGTTTACATTTTGTGGTAATTTACTTGCCCTCATACTGATCCACAACCAGTATGACTTTTTCTTCTGTTGACTACAAAAGAAGAAATGCTGGTTGCTTTTTGTTCCATACAGTTACAGTGAATGAGGAAAAGCTTCCAAGCTTCAGAAAGGATGTAATGGCACCATAAAAGTATCAGAAGTGGTCCAACGACTTGGACAATATTATTTAATGCAGGCCCGGCGCCAGGACACACGACTTGGGGGGGCTTTTATATCTCTTAGGGGGGCCGAATCGGGGGGGTGGGGGTGGGGTTGATGGTAATATTTTCAAGTGAACGCTCGAAATACATTATTGAGGTAACACTTTACAATAATTAACTAACACGTTAATACACTTTAATACACTTTAATACATTAACTAACATTAACTAATCGAACCTTATTGTAAAGTATTACAATTATAGCATATATATGTTCACAAAAACACTGTTAAATTAAACAGAAAATCAAGCAGGTGTGCCTGATTTGGCATGACATCCAATACAAATAATGACCATTCCTTACCTAAATCCTGTGTTTGGACCAGGCTCGGTTGCAGAATCACGTCTGTGCTTCTGAAATTATTATATTTTTCTATATAGTGTAGTAGTTAACTATCTCTGTGCCGTACGTGGCCACTTGTCAAGCATGAAAAACACAAGTTTTATTTAAATTCTGAATATATTATCGTATACAGCATGCAAACAGTGCTCCCTTTAAATTTATTTTAAAAGTTCAAAAAAGAAACAACCAAACAAAAAAAAACAATGAACTTGACTACACGATTAAACTTTTTTAATGTCTTTGTTAGAAAGAAGTTACAAGCATGATAGAACTCAGCACTGGACAAAAAACGGTGACTGGAGCGGTGAGTGCGTGGATTCCAACCTAAACACCTCTGATTGGCCACTGCGTTTTAGAAATCAACAAACATGTCTGTGATTGGCTACATTGCTCACCTCTGAGAAAATGCATTGTAAAATCATTTGACGCTTTCCAAAGCAAAAGGGCAGATACACTGTATTGTTTGCCAAATCTATTTCAGTTATGCTATTATTACGAAGAAAACAGATCCTAGACCAGGGGTTATGGGCAGCTTTTCCATCTAAAAGCAATCAGAAGCAACAGCAGGCAGTTGTATGAGTAAGACTATTATACGCTAAACTCAAGTCTGACTGTCCCCCTCGGTCCGAAGGGGGGCACAGTGATGTCCGTGGGCCCCCCCTCTGGCGCCGGGCCTGTTTAATGTCTTCTGAATTCATAACTTTGTGTGAGGCAGGACGCCATTAATGAGAGATGTAGCGATATCCAATTCACAAACAAATCATTCTTTTGTGTGGGATTCTTTCAATGAATCAGTTCATCCTGTTCACAAAACCAGACTGATTTGTTTATGAATCTGACTGATGCATTCAATTAGGGTTTGGAACGACATGAGGGTGAATAAATGAAGTGAGCTATTCCTTTAACATACATTTAAATAGTTACAATTGCCACCTTGAAAATTAAAAATTAAAATGTAAGTTTTCATAAAGTGTGACTCAACATATATGGTATATGAAGAGTTGGAACCAAAGTCTCAGTACAAGACTGTTCTCTTCTCCTGCTCTAATGACTACAGCTAGTGGTGAATGATTTGTCTGTAGATGTGGATTCTCTGTCATCCACCAGACAGCAGGGCAGGAGAAAAGTGAAATCTCACACTTTAAGATGGGAAAATCATAAATAGTAGAAAAACTCAGAAGCTGAGCCAAGTTTGTTTTTGCTAAGAAGCGTTAACGGAATAGCTCAGTCAGCATGACAAGCATAACAGAATGCGCAGAAACATACTGTAGGGAAAAGAATAATAAAACAAATTAATTTCCAAGACTTTCCATAAGAAATGGGTCCCTTTATGTAGACTTTTCAAAATAATTGGGCTTTGCATTTGGGACAGGCTTTCTGTTCTGTTTGCTCAAAGAGCCTTTTAATTTGAACACACACTTGATTCTATTAGTATTTGTGTTGAAATATGGCACATTAGATTTTTTTTTATCATGCAACTGAGCAGGATTTTATTATATGCAGAGCATAGGAGAACATTTTGTTTACGAGATGCATGTTTTTGTGTCTAATGTAAATTTATTCCATTTTAAACCTCCAGGTATCAGGACAGAACAGGATCTGTATGTTCGATTAATAGACTCCATGACTAAACAGGTAAGTACGGTTTGTTTGTTTTTTTCTTTGAAATTCTTGGGCCTCCTTTTGCATGAATTACTGCATCAGTGCGGTGTGGAATGGAGACAATCAGCCTGTGGCCAACGCAGTCAACGCAGCCATCTACCAGGACATTTTAGAGCACTTCATGCTTCCTTCTGCTGACAAGCTTTATGGAGATGCTGATTTCATTTTCCAGCAGGACTTGGCACCTGCCCACACTGCCAAAAGCACCAAAAGCTGGTTCAATAACCATGGTGTTACTGTGCTTGATTGGCCTGCAAACTCGCCTGACCTGAACCCCATAGAGAATCTATGGGGTATTGTCAAGAGGAAGATGAGAGACACCAGACCCAACAATGCAGATGACCTGAAGGCCGCTATCAAAGCAACCTGGGCTTCCATTACACCTGAGCAGTGCCACAGGCTGATTGTCTCCATGTCACGCCACACTGATGCAGTAATTCATGCAAAAGGAGGCCCAACCAAGTATTGAGTACATGTACAGTAAATAAACATACTTTCCAGAAGGCCAACAATTCACTAAAAATGTTTTTTTTATTGGTCTTATGAAGTATTCTAATTTGTTGAGATAGTGAATTGGTGGGTTTTTGTTAAATGTGAGCCAAAATCATCACAATTAAAAGAACCAAAGACTTAAATTACTTCAGTCTGTGTGCATTGAATTTATTTAATACACGAGTTTCACAATTTGAGTTGAATTACTGAAATAAATGAACTTTTCCACGACATTCTAATTTATTGAGATGCACCTGTATAGTACTTCCTACTTTACTGCATAGATATATTCACGTAAAGCAATGTATACTATATAACACATTTCAACTGCTTGAAAGCTTATATCATCTCAAAATGTAAACTATATTATCGTCCAGCTCTAATCTGCTAAATGAGACTATAGATTATGAAGATATCATAATAAAAATAAATAAACGAATAAATAAATAATAAATAAATGTAACTTGACTAAAAGTGCATGTGCTGGACACTGCACACAAATAAAAGTCCCATTAGAGATGCCTCTCATACTCTCAACTCAGTCCTGCACCTGCGTTCTTCATTCCGTCATGAAATGGACCAGATTTCAACCCCCCCCCCGGTCTTCGTATGGCCTATCCTTTCCTCAGCCCAGCAGGTCCCACTGTCACTGTGTGTCAGCCTTTCTCAGATCAATATGGCAACCAGTTCCTCGACAAAGCATCAACCCTGGAGACCAATCAATAGGCCTTAATGTAGCTGCAGAGCCGACACGCTGGAGACAATAATCCTCCCGACGACAAAAAAGGGCTGTTGTTGTGCGCGCCTGTAAAATCCTTCCCCCCCTACCCGCGCGCACAGGCTTTACATATGTGCATCAACAGCAAAGCTGCAAATAGCGATAGAGAACAACCCGTTTTTTTCTTATAATTGAGAATATGAGAGAGAAGGATCTTAGTTGAGTTAAGCCGCCTCCAATTTGAACGTTTCCCCAAAATTAATTTAGTGAAATTATTTTGTACTGCTAATCGAAATATTTCTTGTAAGGTGAGATGACTTAATTAAGGTACCAGGAAAGAGCGTGTTTGGAGTTCATGGAAGAGTTGTAACACTATTCCATATAGCTGGAGTCAGACGTGCTTAAAGAACCAGGGTGGGTCCACCACCTTGGCGCCAGCAATGTGAATCAAGAACGATGATATATAAATATCGACCCGATCCACCTCCCGACCCCCACCGATCCCAAATCCCCTCCCCCTTCGACAAAAACGGAGGATGGTGATGAAGAGGAAGAGACTTTCATAGGCAGCGAAGAGAAAGATCAATAATGTAGAAGTGGTCGTTATACTAAAAGAATTGTTCCCTAGGGCGTTGGGTCAACCCTGTCTGGCCGACTGACCAGAGTCGGGTAAGATGGAGGATAGTTTAAGGTGGATTGGGTTGTGCGTTCCTTATGTGTGTGTGTTTATGATGGATTCATCTTCACTGGTGATGGGGATGAGGTCTGGAAGGAAGGGGGGTGAGTCATTTAACTTCCTTGATATGCACCGATCATCCGTCATTCAGGCCAGGCATGACAGCCCGATGACGGATGCCTGGGAGGAGGCCTCTCTTTTGGGGCCTGGCTGGCCATCTGGCTGCTCGGGGTGGATGCTGATGGGGAGAACGGGAAGATTGTTACTCCACATGAGCCCCAGCAGAGTCTGGACCCCCCTCAGATTGCTGCATGCGTCCAGCCACCATTGACCAGATTTAGCTTTTAGCATATGTTAAAGTTGTCAGCATGCTTCGAACCAAAAACATGACTAATGACCAGGTGTCAGCATCCTGAACATCTTGAGCAATCACTGGTTTCGGGATGAGCTAAAGGAGGAATTCGGCCAAGTCACAAAACAAGAGGATTGAATAAATTGATCAAATGTGACAATAAAGACATTTATAATGTTACAAATGATTTCTATTTCAAATAAATGTTCTCATTATGAATTTTCTCCTCATCAAGTATTTTGAAACGGTTTCCACAAAAATATTAAGTGGCACTGTTTTCAACTGTTTTCAATATTGATGATAATAAATGTTTCTTGATCACCAAATCAGCATATTAGAATGATTTCTGCAGGATCATGTGACGCTGAAGATTGGAGTAATGACTACTGAAAATGTAGCTTTGCCATCACACAAATAAATTACATTTTAAATTATAGTAAAATAGAGAAGTTTTTAGTTTTTATATGGTAATAATATTTCACAATATAAATGTTTTTACTGTATTTTTAATCAAATAAATGCAGTCTTGGTGAAACTTCTTTCAAAAACATTTACAAATCTTACCAACCCCAGACTTTTGAACAGTAGTGTATTTTGAGGTAAACACATTCAAAGCACTACTGGGGCAAGTTGTCACATTGCATTAAATTAACTTTTTTCCCCCTAAACAATAATTGTGGAAAGCATGAATTTGTCTCTCTTTCTTCCTTATAGGCAATCCTTTATGAAGGCCAAGACAAAAACCCAGAGATGTGTCGCGTTCTCCTCACCCATGAGATCATGTGCAGGTCAGTTCATATTTACCTCTCATTTCTTATAAGAACAACCTGAGACTTCTATAACAAACACAGCTCTGCTCATATTCGAAGCACTAACATATTGAAGACAACGTAACATGCAGTTTTTGAAGTATCTTTTAATGCCTTATTAATTCCTTTTTTATTATTTAACATGAAAAAATTGATTACGCCTCATATTACTGATCATGATTCAGTATCACTATGTGAGAGAGGCTTTAGAAGAACATTAACATATGGTTTGGGAGTTCAGCTCACGGGTGTACCGCAGGGTTGCATAGGTGGGCCTACATGATCCTTCCCGCTCCACTGTGAAGTCCTACAGGGCTTTCCTCATTACATTGACCTTAATGCAGTGTAATTATGGGTTCACAGTGGGCTTGCATGGCTGGAGGCCTGGATAGAGGTGTATTGTCCATGAATTTTTGCCTGATGGCCATTGGAGGGGGTTGAGGATCTGTAGGGAAGTGGTGCTGGGGGGTCGAGGAAGTTAAGGGGGCTCAGAAGCTGGTGTCTTGGGTAATGGGGGGCTAACTTAGAGTTAATAATGTAGTGAGGGGAAATGATGGGGCTTCGTTGGGCACCCGAGGGCCGGTGGGAGATGCAAATCCTCCAATAGAGTGTAGCAGTGATTATATATTTTTGTAGGCCGTCCCTAAAGTTAGCATCACCCTGGCTCCCTCGACAAAAACCCAATAAACATTTTCCATTGGCTTTTGGATGATTGCAGAAAATAAGCTCTGTGACCAACACAAGTTTATGATTCTTACACGTTTTGCTTGTCATGATAATCTTCACAATTGGACACAGCTTTTATGAATTTTGAAGGCTAAATACAGTTGCCAAAAGTAAAAAGCCAAACGTAGACTATAAACGAACTACACAACGGTTGCATGACTTCAAAATAAGCTCTGTGACCAACACAAGTTTATGATTCTTACACGTTTTGCTTGTCATGATAATCTTCACAATTGGACACAGCTTTTATGAATTTTGAAGGCTAAATACAGTTGCCAAAAGTAAAAAGCCAAACGTAGACTATAAACGAACTACACAACGGTTGCATGACTTCAAAATCACCATCATTAAGCTAACAGCTATTTTAGTCTTTATTTAAAACACATTTTCCCTGAAAGTTTGAGTTAGAATAGTTTGCAAGAGTGCAATTATAAACAGTGAGGCTGTAAAAATGGGCTAGTGTGTAGATGAGTTTTCATGTTCGGTTTGATGATGTTTATTGTCTCCAACAACCTCTGTAGCTCCATTTAGCCACTTGTTAGCATCCACCTTTTTCAACACAAGTAAAGTCACAAGGGGTAATACTGGTATATTGTATGTTGTAGAATAAAACTTGAAAATATTTTGAGCTTGTGTTAACCACATACCTTATTTCAGGCATTTAACCAAAAACCCATTTAAAAAGCCCACTGACTTTTGAACAATGGACCCGGAAGTACTAAAATGGCAACTCTTTTACGGATTTTGGCTTACAAAAATACGTCATCCCTGCAACACTCTATCTGGCTAGAAGAAGAAAAATGACTACCGATGCACTTCACGTCCGATATTTTTTATATATTTAATGTTAATGTTCTTTGCTTGGCTCTGACAGAGATTTGCCAAGAACAGAGACAGTCAATTATTATGTGGAGCCTGTCGAGTTATTCAAGTGTTGATGGGAATTTCAACACATTTTGAATCATTAAGATGGACTTTGCTAATTATGTTCATCACAGAAGTGATTCCATCTGGCTGCCACCAGCACTACATAAATCTAACAAACGCTTCACCCTGTAAAGTGGACATGATCACTTCCAGAAAACTCACCTGTTTACACCACACAGCACTGGGTGCTGGGTACTCTGTGCTATTTTCTCCCTCAAGGAACTGGGCTTTCTCTGAGATGATTTCGATTCAGGTTCCATTTCCATAATGATGGCTCAGTTTGAGTCGGTCATTATGTGATTGAGTGTGATTATTAACTGCCTCCCCTGATGAATGGTGTGTTTCCATTCGCTAATGAGAGCGAGATGAAAGATATTTCCCCTGTCTCTCACTCCCAGGTGATAGAACTCTTTATCAGGGCCCTGACGGAGTCTACCTCACCTGCAACACCCATCAACAGACTGAAAGCACAGCAGCTGTTCATGGCAAACTTGATGTTCTTGTCCCAGACGTGAGGATGAGTGTCCTATGGTCTTTTTCAGTTTTAATAAATAGTGCTTGTTTTGGAGATCATTTCCTTTGTGTGGTAAATGAGCTTAGCAAATGACTTTGACAGATTATTTGGTATCTCTTGTAAGCAGAGTTACAATATTTCCACGTGAACATCATACTTACAGTCACCAGGAACTTTAAGGAGTGTTGTTTTCAGATTTAGCTGGTTAGCATGGCCCATTTTGCCCCTGCTGGTAGACATTGTAACTACACCATCTGCTAACAGGCATCTCAATTGGAAACCATTTAATAAATTAACTTATATTCGGGAGAAATAATTTATATAAAAAATGTATACAAAATTATTATATATACCAGTGTAGATTACCAGTGTCTGATTATTTTTGAGAGAATTTTAAATTAATTTATATTATTATTATTTATTACAATTTTCCTGTCAGTTGCTTTTGGCATCATATATAAAATAAATAATAGATAGATAAATAAAATAAATCATAAATAATAGATATATCCATCTATCTAGCTACCTATCTATCTAATCATTTTATGTTGGTTTTAATTTGGTAATGGGTTAATGGGTTGATTAAATGTACATTTTTACCAAACAAATAACAGTGATTTTTTTATGGGTTGAAAAAAAAAAGGTCCCTTTAAAAATAATAAAAAATGAAAATAATTACAATTTAATTAAAAATATTTAACTCCGTAATGTGTGCTCTATAATGTACTATAGGAAGTAATTTATCATGGGACAGGACTTGGTCTGCCTTTAACCATTCAAGGTCCTTCCTGCTCATCCCAATGACTTGAAACTGGCACTTCAGAGTCTCCAAAGGAGGCATCACAGCGGTTAGTTGGCATGGCACATCTACAGAATCATGGAGCACGGTGCATAGTGGGCACGGACTGGTCTCTGTCCGCCAGTCTGGATGAGGATGTTGTGTTGGAGAGCTCTGCCATCGGCTCTCACCCTCCAGTCAGGCAGCCTGGTGCATATGATTAGCCCTGGCCGCATCCTTTCTGTGCCTGGCTGGGTAATTACAACACTTGCCCTTTGAAAACAAGCCCTCTATTGACATCCATTCTCTCTGTCCTTCTCTATCTTTTCATGTCTTATCTTACTCCTTCAGCATGTTCCACTTTATCTGATGTTAGTCTTAAGATTCCCCAGGGAAGCTTTGAAGGCTGTTTTTTATATAAGCTCCACTCTGATATTCTGCCCTCATCCGATAAACCCACCTTTCTAGTTTTTGAGTGAATCTACTTCAGGATACCAGAGGTCTGTCTGATGGACTAGTAAGGGCCACGGTAGAGATAGCAAGCTGAGTAGGTAGCTCTTAAAGCATCTGTTCCTCAATCTATGACTAATCAGTAGGAGCGACCAGAGCCGGTGCCTCTGTACAGGAGCACTGCTTGTCCTGTGCTCATTTTAGGGGTTTGAGGTTGGAGGAGCCGCATTTGTTTTCGTGGTTCTGGCCCTTCGTCATTAGCCGAGCCAGGGCTAGCCTGCTCAGACCCTGGAGGGAACGCCTTTAAAGCCACATTACGGACACTCCGCCAAGGTTTGTTTTTGCGAACGGGGCCTGGGACTCCCTCCGGACCTGGCTGTGCTCCTGGGGTCCAGTTTGTTTATAACACTTCTTTCGCAGTTTGAGGAGGTTGTCACCACAGCCTCACCATTGGGTTTCCAATGCTAATTGGTCTCCTGGAAGTTTGCTAATGGTTCCAAGTAGCTGGGGGAATAAATTATAGTGGCGCGCTCTATGGCAACAGTCACACACACAAAGAACAGGAAAACAACGAATGGTTCTTGTTTTTTCAGGTTCTTAAAGATCAAACAATGTGATAAATGATTCATAAAGTCAGATCGTTTTGCATTCAGTGGCTCTAAGTGAGGATTATTTGTCAAATGGCAATCTAATGCATGACAGCATGAAGCAAGTAGGATGAATATATCAGGAGTCTTAGTGGTCGGAAAAATCCATACAATATGATTTGAAGTTATTGCTTAGCTAATCTTAGTCGAGGGTAATGATTTTTTTGTTTCAGCATCTACTTAAACATTTCATCAAACTGTGTAGAGAAAAATGGAACAGATACTGCAACTCAGTGTCTCCAGCTCTGCTATTCATGAGCCACACTGCTTCATGATTAATTTTGATTATGCTTAGTCATTATTCATAAAATACCTTTTTTTCTCTTTAAATTATATTATATTAAAGTAATATACTGTAAATTATATATGTATTTAAATATTTTTATTTAAATATATTGTATTATAATGTTTACATGTAATAATATAGTATGTACTAGAATTATTTATTATATTGATAGTCCTAAATTCTTATGGGTATCCGTGTCTCTTGCTGTGAGAACTCAATCGTGCAGGAAACAACTATTGCAAAAATATTTCTCTTCTGACTGATGATCTCAAGCTGATGAGATTAAACTTAATTGGAACCATTTTCACAAAGCAGGCGGCACCAGTGGTCACACCAGTTTGGTTGGCAAGGGGTGAATGGGCTATGCGGGATGTATTTAGAGGAACCACATGCCACCAGATGAGATGCCAGCTTGGGGCGAGGGCATGGGCAAGGGCAGAGGTGATGACAGTGTTGGAGAGGAGCATTTGGGAGAGAGCCGCTGCACCAGGACTTCTCTGGGTGCTGTCCAAACTGTCAGAGGCTGGCTGAGTGACCTTGGCGGGGGCCCAGCCCAGCTGGAGCACAGGGCGAGAGGAGAAAGAGGGCGGCCTGTCAGGCAGCCACCAGCTTGAGAAAGATTTGCCGGTCACCACATAGCTCCATCCCTATCTCTAAAAGAACACAGCAGAGCTTTTCTTCTAAGCATGAAAGCAAATCTCAGAACTATTTTTTTTGTACACTCATACATAATTCTGTGGTAATTGGGCATTTTTTGTTGTCCTTTTTCTTTGGTTCCAATTCAAGTCACTAGCAAATTCTGTATTTATAAAATCTAACTGAACATCAAGCTGCTTGACTAACGATACAGTCAAATACTGTGATGCTCTCTAAAACAATAGTAAACATAAATTAATATATATATAGATTAGAGGTAGCAGTTGCCAATATCAAACCCAAAAACATTCCAATATCGATCCAACCCTATTAGATAGACATGTAACTTATGTCTTTTATTCATTTCAGCCGGTGTTGTGACAAGAAGAGCTGCGGGAACCGAAACGAGACGCCATCTGATCCTGTCATCATCGACAGGTAAGAGCATCTTCTATCTTCCTCTTGCCCTCCAAAATGGAAAGACATCTGCATCTACAGGCATCTGGATATTTTATTAATGTGCATTTTGGGGCTCAAATCCTGCATCCCACAACAGGACATAATCAGCCTTGCCGCCAAGTGAGCGAAAGACAGTGTGTGCAGACTTGCTCCTCTTGACAAATGCAGCTCTCACAGCAATCACATCTTGAATTCTGAAACATTTAGAGAGATTGAATATATTGCATAATTCCCATCAATTTTGCTTTTTCCCATGGGTTAATGCTACATGTTTTTAGTTTTAGGATTGCTAACTGCTTATTCTGTTCTCAATACCGTCTCTCAAACTCTTTACCCTGTTGACTGGACTTCTACCCGCTAAAAGCGTCTGTAGGGAGGTTTTGTAATGACTGAAATGAAGTGGATGTGATTGTGTGTGAGAGTGTGCACTTCCAAACAGGACAGCAGTGAGTGTCCTCTTAGGGCACAGGGGTCATTACCAAATCCATGTTGGCTCGTTAGACTGGCCTTGGAGCGTATCCAGCGGACAGAAGTGAAGGGAGCCGGAAATCAGTGACCCTCCCTCTTTCTCCACACACACACACACACACACACACACACACACACACACACACACACACACACACACACTCAAACCAGAGCGTACACACAAACACACACAACATCTTCTCAC